TATCTGTGTATGATCTACTGACATGTAATAAAATGAAGTAAAGCTTAGGGATTTACATTAATCTAGATAACAGATGACCTGATATTATGCGTGCCACCAAAACAAACACTAAAGATTACCTCATTCTCTTCAGTCTAGATTATTTCTTAAAATGCAGGCAAACGTATGAATACATAAAACTGAAAACATCCCAGTTTCTCATTCTCTTGCAGTTTATGAGTGAATATCTTCACACAGCTTAGTGGTAATTGGCCCATCATGATCTTATTTCTCTCTGGTCTCAGTTTTATTTGGCTTATATGAGCGTGCCTGTAATAAAGCTTTAATGCTTTACCATGGGGAGATTATCTGACCATAGTACAGCAATGGACATTATCACTCAACTACATGCATCACTTATTCTTCACTCATTGGTCAGAATAGCGGCCGGGGAGCTTGCCATGAGAGCTGCTCTGTAAACTGTATTTGTGTCTGCGAACGTGTGTTTGTGTGCACTTGTGTGCGTCCAAAGTATGTGTGTGTGTGTGTGTGTGTGCTTGGCTTGTTCGTGTTTCGTCTCACTGCCTGTGTCTGTAGAGCGTTAGATGATGTGGGACTTAGCGTGTGTGCTTGTGCGGCCCCGTTGCTAGAATTTGTATGTGGTGTTTGTCGGCAGGCTTGTAGAATGACATTTGGTGAAACGTGGCGGCGGGAGAGGAAACATCTGACTCATAATTGAAGTGCCATGAAAGAAATATGGTCATGAATCTGTATTAGGCTTATGTGCTCAGCTTTAAAGCAGTGGAAGGAGCAGGAGGCAGCGTGCTCAGCCTGACTACCTTCCCACCCTGAAGGCTGATTACAACGCTCAAAAGGATACTCCACAAAAATGACAGAGGAAAACACAGCATATTCAAGGCGAGAAGTCCTGATGACAAAATCGATAGGCCGTAGCGCTCTCATCTCCATCAAAAAGGGAGTCTCAGGATGAATGTAGCTGTGCTTTAGCGATTCACCCAAAGCAATCATCTCAATGTCCTGGAGGATAACGCAGCACTCTTCAGTCACCCTCTTGCGGCTCACATGTAGAGCTATTTGTGCTGAAAGCTAAAGAAGGCTGCCCTTTAAACAGTAAAGTTAGAGGTATTCCTTATCTCTGTCTGTCATCAGCAAATCATTTTATATTACAGATAAAACATAGTCTGCATCAGTTATGTAACTGCTTAACAATCGCTTGCAACTGCATCTTTAAAAACTGCAAGAACTGCCCCACTAATAAATGCTTTAAATATTTTTTGTGCTAAGGTCTCCTTTATCTAACTTTTTAAACATACATGACACAATGAGATGCACTGCCCCCATGCCATTTAATATGATCAACCTGGGTTCTGTTTCATATTTTAAGAGTCTATATGAAATCAAATTTTTATAGAAGATGGTACACATATGTTGCTCAGCCATATAAATAATACAGTGCATACGGTAGGATTCCTAAAAATCTAGTTTTCACAATCCCTGTGCTGCTTGCTTCTTTTTTACTGTTGTAAAGAACAATTTTAGATCATTTTTGGTATCTGGACAAATTTAGATTAACACTGTTTTTACTATATAATTAAAACTGCCTTGAAAAGTTTACTATTGTATGAAAATAAATTCACTTTTTTGTGGTCAAGCAAATAGAGATATATAGAGTATATAAATTATTTTATTAGCACTGCTTTTGCTAAAGATAACTTTGAAAATATGTGCAAAATATGTAGTATGTTAATTACAGCTTAAAGGAATAGTACACCCAAAACATGATTAGCCTTCATTTTCTACTCACCCCCATGCTGAACAACACTCTGGAGTACTTTTTTGATATCTCAAATGCATCTGGAGATCTGGGAGGCTTCTTGCTGTCTGCTGATATTCAAATAATGGAGGTCTATGGTGCACTTTCATCTGGTTTGGTCTGCCGGCTTCCATAGCGTCGTGAACGCGCACGCGCGCGCTTTCAGGAAATCCTATACACTACTGTTTATGCTCTAAAAACATTCTGAATGACTTCGTTTCGAGTAAATTCTGGATGCTACCCACTCAGGACACTTGGAATACATTGGACGAGCAGTATGGAGGAATATTGACACGTTTTTTGTGGACTTTTATGGACCTTTCTGTCTCGGTCGCCATAGACCTCCATTATTTGAATGTCAGCAGACAGCAAGAAGCCTCCCAGATCTCCAGATGCATTTGAGATATCAAAAAAGTACTCCAGAGTGTTGTTCAGGATGGGGGTGAGTAGAAAATGAAGGCTAATCATGTTTTGGGTGTACTATTCCTTTAATTATAAATTTATTACTGTTTTTTGTCTGCACTTTTTCATCAGCATCTAAATGAGTCTAGTATTTTATACGAAGTTTCTTCACAGCATCAAGACTGGATCCAGTATAAGGCTATTTTATGGCAATAGCCTAAATGTAATTAATGCTAAGGTAAAGTCTTTATCAGGTTTTTCTTTTATCTGTTGGTATCAACAGATAAAGGAAGGGTGGGAGAGTGATGTAGGCCGTAGGCAGGGTTCCAGCCAATCAAATAGGCCAAAAAAAGAAAAAAATTATTAATTAATGGATACCCATACCTATAGCTAAATTACCTAACAGGCTTATTTGGGAGTGTGGGAGGATCTGAGAGAAACCGCATTGAATTAACTCATACAAGAGGAAAATGCCAACTTAATGCAGAAAGGCAAGGATCAGAATTCAAATCAGTGACCCTCCAGTTGTACAGCAAGTCTAGGTTTTCATTGCTTCTTATTGTTCATGCTTTTATTTCAAAAAGAAAGGAAAAAAAATATCTATTCAAAGTCACAAAATACAGGTTCAGATAAGGTCTAGATTCCAAATGTGAAATGTCTCTTTATTCATTCATGTATGAGTGTGTAGTTATTTTCTGTCAGCTGATTATACAAAAACCTTAGTTTAGATGAAAGGCAAATAGAGATAAAAAATAATTTTTTTATACACATCTTAGTGGTTGAAGGAATCTGATTTTTCTATCAGCCTAACACACTCTTTCATAACCCGACTTAGTGAAAAACAAATAAAGGTGATAAAAAAAGGCTAAAAACTCATACTTTTAGGACTTGTAGGAAGAGATAGTAAATGAAATTTACCATGTAGATGCCATGTTAAAATGGGTTACATAAAGAATAATAAAAAAAAAAACAGATTAAATAATCCCCAGTGGTTCAGTTAACATGGTATGAGTTAAAGAAATGGGGGATATACTGTACACTGTATTGCTTTTCCTTATTAAATGTAATGAGGCGAATCTATGTGCACATAGGAGCAGAGCTGGGATAGTTTCTGGGATTTCTTGGTAAAGAGAAAGATGAGCAGTGACTCAAATAGCCTGGTATATTACTGCCTGTTTCTTGTGACCTGATTTTAAAAGATAAATATTTTAAAAAATTAACCTGGACACAACATTTTGCAATACACAAACTGAATCAGTTTATCATTTTTAGATGCTTTTTGGCTCACAGGGTTATGGTTTATTTAAGTTTATCTACATTTTGGATTAAAAAAAACAATCAATTTTGAGGGGTTGAGGAAAATATCTTAACAGCTAAGATGTTTTTATATCAGTGGATGCATCGACTAAAGGAGCGTCTTTTCTTTTTTTAAGTATTTGTTTCACACAGGACGATTCTAGAGGGGGGACCCACCTCTTCCACCAACTATCTGTTAAAGGTATTTGCCTCTCTGTGCAAAACAACTAATTGCAAGTATGAGGTTTGTCTTATACCTGATCCCTATATTAATATATATATATATTTTCTAGATTGAAGTTGTTTAAAGAGATCTAAAAAGTAAAAAAAAAAGTAAAAAAAATAAAAAAATAGAATCCACTGGACTCTGCTTTCCAAGTTTGAAGATGTTTTGCTTCCCATCTAGGAGGTTCTTTTCAATTCAATTTAATTGGCCTATTTCATACTAGCTATTAGCTTGTACCAATGCATATCCAGGTGACATTATTAAGGTTTTCTCCTGCAAGTAAATAATAACTGTTTATAATTTTTCAGCAGAAACCTAACTTAATCCCAATCCGTCATATTAAAACGATGGTCTAATGAATCATTGTAAATGTTCTGTACTTTATGGCCCCATTTATAACTAGTTATGGCAGAGTAGCTAGGAAATATCAGGACAACACAGCAGTGTTGACTAACAAATTCATCTTTTGGTGTTTATACAAGATTTCTTATTTATTTCTAAAAGGATAAAGTGGCACCAGGCACACTTTACATAACAGCCAGCAACAAATTAGGTGAAATGTGAGGCAATATTTAAAGAAGGAAACAGTACAGAGTTTTTTTTTTTTTTTTTTAAATGTTCTTTCTATTACCACTTTATATGTAAAAAATATGCAAGGTTTGAGATCAATTTTGATCAAAAGATGAATGAAAATGGTAAGAGAGCTTTGGTAGGGCACTAACAAACTCCATTTTGTGTGGTTTTAGCTGTTTCCATGGAGCTTTCATCACTCTATTTCGCTGTGTTTTTTTTTTCCTCACTGCCCTCCGCAAACCACACAAACACACTAGTGTCTGAAAGGGGATTTATCTGCGTGAGTTCGTCTGCAACCAACCACAACTCAGGAAGATCCTCTTTCAACACTAACAAACCTGTTTCCTCTCCTCTCTCTCTTCTACATCACACCCATCTCATCACTTCTCAACCTCATTACAATAATTTCTTAATTTATTCCAAATCCCAGCCACAACAACAAACCCACACTCAGTCGACTCAATTACTGCAACTTGATCCATAACCAGACTGTATTCAAGCACCACATCAAGAAGAGGCATAAAGGATATTCATATTTTACAGTTGTGTCTGTGTTTTTCATTAGGCCTCATTAAGTGTGTGTGAGGCAATCAGTAGCGCTCATTACACTGAGATGCCCTATAAAGATGCCCCAGAAAAATGTCCTTGAAGGACATGGTAAAAAAAGAAAAAAAAAAAAAGGATGCTTACCGAGGACGCCGACTCGATAGTTGAGAGTGATAACGATGACGTTTCCATAGCTGGCCAAGACGCTCCCGTCGATCATGTTTCCCGTCCCTTCCATGTAGGACCCTCCGTGGATGTAGATCATCACAGGCTTGGCCCCGGTATCTCGGATGTCTGCAAGAGTGCCATCATTAACATATTCACATTGTCGTCCATCCGCTGCGGTTAAAGGGTCAAGTCAGTTTCAGATACACATGGTGACCATAAACAAACAAACTGACAACCCCTCCCAGATACCAGCTCTAATCATACAGTCCAGCCTGCTGGCCTGCAAATGGAAATTGATGCAATATTCTTCTATTGGATCTTCTCTAAGAGAAACTTAAGTCCACTTGAATTCAACCCTCTGCTGCTTTATGTATTTACACCTAAATAGCATCTCACAGAAGTAGGAACACAGCTCCCATTTATGCAGATATTTCATTATATCTTTTAATAGAAAACCAGTGAAGATGTTGCTTCTCTTGGACATATAGTAATGTAAAGTGGTCAGGGTACAGCTGTATGAGACTATAACTTATTGCAGTATGCTAGCAGCCTCAAAAGACTCCCAGCAGTCTTGTTGACTGCAGGCAAGACACACTTGTCTTTGTACTCATCACCTGATTTCCTGTCACACACTCAACTGAATCAAGACAAGTTTTCCTCCTGACAATATAAAACATGGTTGCGTTCATCCATGTCCTTAGTCTGCTTGTCTTTATCAAATTGTTTGTGTTCTCTTATCATAATTTTCATCATTTCAAGAAGAGGCTTCCTTCTGGGATGACAGCCATGCAGACCAGTTACAGACTAATGCTTTGTTTGGCACAAAATCTGTTCACCCCTTCAACCTCTGTAGCAATTCTGGAGGCACTCATGCATTTATTTTCCCAACACAACCTCTGGATATGGGGCTGAGCGCATGCATTGAACATATTTGGCTGGCAAGGCCTTTTCTGACTGGAACCTGCCTTTTTAAACCATAGTATGGTCTTGGTCACCATGCTGCAGCTCGGTTTCAGGTTTTGGGACAATCTTGCTATAACCTACCTACTTTATATAGAGCAGCACTGATTTTTTTTGGATCCACAGACAGTTTTAACCATTTCCAGCAGGGAGTTAAAATGGTTAATTGGAGACATTTAAATTTTACTTTTACTATTTTCAAAACATTAAAGGCTGAGTTTTTAAATAAATGTATTCTGTTTTACATACAAACTGCATACTGATTGCCTTGCAACAAGCATCAGAGAGAGGTGTACTCACTTTTGTGAGATAATATATATATATATATAATTTTAGTGCTTTGCAAAATATTCAAAGAACAATTTCTTGGGCAGATGATGCTGTAATACCCTAAAGAGATGATAAACCTAGAGTAATAACAGCATCATGCCTTAGATATGCTTTAGTTTACTGGGTATAAGAATAGAGGTCAGGGTTGATGGGAAGATTAGAACCACTAGATTTAGGGTGATCTTGGGAGAAAACCTCCCAAAAGCACCAGAACATTTTAGAAAGTTTATCTTCAAGCAGCATAATAATCCATGAAATAAAAGGAGAGCTGTAGTAGAAGATTTTCTATGTTTTAGAACGGCTCACTCATAGACAAAACCTAAATCCAAAGGAGAAACTGTGGTAAGACTTGAACAATTATGCTGTTTAACAAGGTTCATATGATTTTACACAGCTTACGGTATCCTGCTAAATAAAATAGGAAATAATTTCACTGTATGTGCAAAGCTGGTTGAGACATAAGGAAACAGCCATGCAGCTTTAATTGCAGCAACATACAGACTCAAGGCACAAAATTTAAATGCAGGCCACACCTCTGGTATATAAATATATATTTGTTTTAGAAATTTTGTGCTAAGGTCTAAGGGTAATTCTTTTGCAAATCATTGCACATCTACAAACCAAGTTGTATTCAGATGCAGGTTAACTTCCAGGAACTGGGGCACTATTTAAGCATAAACATGCAGAAATCCATTAAGGGAAATAAAGAGAGAGGTACTAAGACACATCTCCTAAGCATGCAGAAGGCTAATCTGGCCTGACAGTAATAGGGGGAAAATGCTCTAGCTAATTACACAATGCTATCTTGTGTCTCCTTTTTTTTACACAGGCCTATCGTGCAACAGCAAATTGTTTGCACGGTTCCAGTCCTGCAGTCCCCGTAAGCTATGTTTTCAGCTTCTGTTTTTGGTAAAACGTTGTTTATTTTTCTCCCTAAGCAGGGGTTTTGATACCCAGCTGGGGTGACACTCCAGCACGTCCAGAGGTAGAGAAAAGGAAAGAGAAAAAAAAGTCTCTGTCTGAGGAATAGACTTGAATAACTGACTCTCTAACTGGACCTGGGAGACAAGACAAGAAACTCTCTTATTTTCACTCCTTCTTCCCTCAGCGTTTCTCTATAGCTTTTTGCCTCCACCCACCACCCCCTTCTACCCCTTCCACCCTCCCACTTTGTATCACTTTCACTCACAGTCTCTCCCTTGTCTCTCACTGTTCCTCCCCTGCCTTTCCTCCATCTCTGTCCAACACCCTCTCCTTTTTTTTGCAGTAGTGAGAATGAGAAGGGGTAGGAGGGCAACGAGTGCTGAAGATGGAAGGAGAGTAGAATGAAACACACAAACAAAAATGGAGGAAATAAGGAAAACAACAGAAATACATAAAAAGACAAGAAGAATGAGTCAGATTTAAAAGGGGCGGCATTGTATCTGGTTGCTCTGGTTACAGAGTATCATCATCCTGAGCTATCTTGTTTGGAATAACCTGCATCCACCTCCAGGCACTCCTCGTGATCCTAGAACCCTCTGCCCTTTCTGCTAATCGCAGAGGACAACTGCAAAACTGTTTTATGTAGGGACACATTTTTCTTTAACCCCCATTTCCGACCTAATCCGTGTTTTCTTTCCTCTTTATTTTACTATCCCCTGAGTTATTTGTGGTTCTGTTAGGTTTAAAAGCAAAGCAGTAACTTGTTTATGATGTGGACTTATTTATGGCTACCTTTATCTTGCTGGTATCTGAGAAGGCTACCCGGTGAAATGTGATTTAAAGCTGACACCTTTCTGGACACACTTATCTTAGACAAGAGGAAGAGAAGGAGAGGGAGGAGGGGTGGTGTGTGGTGAGAAAAAAGCATTAAAAGTACAGTCAGAGAGGGAAGAAAGAACTAAGAGGTGAGGTGAGCAGGGACAAGGGAGAAGCAGAACGATATTCTCCACAAGCTATTCAAACAAAAGGGCCACAGATACAAAGAAAATGGTGGAGAGGTAGAAAGAAAAGGGAGCAGAAACAACAAAAAAAAGAAACAGATTAGTCATGTCAATGTTATCAGTCACCTCTTTTGTTGTTTTACATTGGGTCTCCATTTGGGAGAAGCTTCCACTTATTCTAATCTATTTATTAAGTCAATCTGGCATGAGAAGTGTCACAGATATGATATAAATCTCTTCCTGACAGGGATCTTTTTTTGAATGATTACGATCTCAGCCAGACCGTTGCTTCACAGAGAAAATAAAATAAAATGTTTTCCAGACACATCTGAGCAGCAACAACAAGTATTTTGTATTGACCAGTTATTTTTTTTTTCTCGACTATTCTGGATGACCCAATCTGCTGAACAAGGTGACTAAGTTGTTTCCATCAGAAAGTGTCATGATTCACCATTTCCCTCGAAGGCAAACACATCATTACTACAACACATATTATTAGCATCAAGAATCAGCACCAAGCTTTGGCTGAAAAAAAGAAGAGACACATTCATTAATAAACAGAATTGTTTATATAACCTGGCTGGTTACCAGTATCATGGTTTCTCAGGGTTTAAAATGTTCATTGTGTTAAAGCAAAATATATTTTTCACATCATTTTTTACTAATTTTATAGAGATGACACAGAAACTGCTGGAGTTACAGGAGTTTTCTTTGCCTTTTTGAAGGATTAGGCAAAGACGGCCACCCAAAGCTATTGTGCACTGCTAAGCAGCTGGCTAAAAGAAGTCAAGTGCATTTTTTCATTGATTACTGGAAAAAAATAGACTACTACAATTAGGAAAAATCCACATACCATGGCTGTTACAGTCAGACATGGGCACTAGCGGTACAGGTAGCTCTACTAACCAGTAAATATTGGCACAAAAAGTTGGTTAAAATAGCCCTTTGGCTCCATTTCTATCATATGTTCTGTTTTTAAAAGAACAGCTTCTACTCATTTAATGGTGTCCTATCTAACTCTGAACAAAATAACTAACTTTGAGATTATTAACTCGAGATTAAGGACAGACAGACAGATATGTTTCCTTAACTTTTCCAATTAACTCCAAAAAGGCTACATTTGAATTGTCAAAGTTTGCCTCTATGTCAACATTATGTCCACATTAAATCTTTAGATATCCATAACCACATTGGATAAAAAAAATGCGATTTGTGTGTGGAAAAGAGGTCCAAATGTATAAAAATATTTCTTGCAAAATATCCAAATGAGTAAGAACATTACCTTATTTGGTTAGAAATACAATCTGGAATCAAAATAGCTTTTTTTTGGCAAAAGAAATACACTATTGCAATAATTGTTTACAAGCCACTGATAGATCTTTAAAATGTTTATTCTAGATGTTTGTCATCTGTACAAACAAAGGGATAGGGAATTAAATCTTTCTAATTGGGTGAAACAATACCTTAAATTTTCTTCAGGAAAAGTAGGAAGTGACGCTTTTCTAATTTAATCTTAACAATCTAGATCAGTATAGAACCATGATACTGTTAAACCATAGGATTCCTACTCAAGGTTATATTACTCATGCCTTGAGTAGTCTTGGTCCATGCCTGTTGGTATGCTTCATTAAAGCACCATGCAAGGTTAAATCAAAATGTGAAATAAGGTAAATACATTCATGTTTTGACCAAATAAGATAAACAAACAAATAATAAAGACAGTGAATGATGAAAATGTATGTATTATGCATCAAACAGTGCTCACGCAAATCAGTATTTGCTTATATTCTTTTAGTTGAGTAAGATCATGCAGCACCCACTACACATAGACATACATTCATTCACTCCCAGCACTTATTCTATGAGCAGCAGATTATTGCACCACAGTAGAACAAATTTACTTAGTATTGC